CCCCCCCCCCTGAAGGGCCTGTGGCCAGCCTGCAAACAGCCATCAGCCCCTCACCCAGGCTGGCCAGGCACTCCTATATAATAAAAGGGTAATATGCAAATTGACCCTAACTGCAGAAGGACCTGGAACCACCGGTCGCTATGACACACACTGACCACCAGGGGGTAGATGCTCAACACAGGAGCTGCCCCCTGGTCGTCAGTGTATTCCCACAGGGTGAGCTCCGCTCAGCCACAATCCCGGCTGACTGCTGGGAGCGCAGTGGCGGTGGCAGGAGCCTCTCCAGCCTCTGTGGCAGTGCTAAGCCACTGCCAGACATCTCCCAAGGGCTCCCAGAGTGCCAGAGGGATGTCTGTCTGCCAGCTTAGGCCTGATCCCCCAGGAGCGGGCCTAAGGTGGCAGGTGGACATGCCCTGAGGGATCCTAGACTGCGAGAGGGCGCAGGCCGGGCTGAGGGGACTCCACCCCGGCCCCTCCAGCTCCCGCCACCGAGTGCACGAATTTTCGTGCACTGGGACTCTAGTATTACAATATCTATGTATGGTACCAAGCGCATACTAGACATATTGGAAAATGACTTCATAAGTTATATAAATATAGGATCACTATGCTGTACACCTGAAACTAATGTAACATTATATGTCAATTATAATTGAAATATTTTCTTTTAAGAAAAAGAAGAGATTCATGAAAATGTTTTTGGAAGTACTACAGGCTTGCATATTTATTTATTTATTTATTTATTTATTTATTTATTTTTTTATTAATCCTCACCCAAGAATATTTTTCCATAGATTTTTGGAGAGTGGAAGACAAAGGGAGAGACAGAGAGACACATCAATTGGTTGCCTCCTGCATGTGCCCTGATCAGGACTGGAGACACAGCCACTACAGGCTAAATTTATTTGAATAGCTTGTTCATATATTTAATTTTATATTTATTTAATCATTAAAGTCTGAACTGGATACTTCATTTTCATTATACTTTGCAATATCTCATGGAAGACATTAGGTGATGGAGTGTTATTTATAGATTTGGTGAATTTCAAAGATCTTTGGATTTTTTTCAGAATGTCAACCGTCTATCTTAACTGTTTAATCATTCTCAGTACCACAGAAAACAAAGTTAGAAAGACAAGTTACTTGGATTATAAAGCAATTGTGTTTGTGATCTCCTACAGCAGCCGTGGGCAAACTACGGCCCCCGGGCCGGATCCGGCCCGTTTGAAATGAATAAAACTTAAAAAAAAAAAAGACCGTCCCCTTTTATGTAATGATGTTTACTTTGAATTTATATTAGTTCACACAAACACTCCATCCATGCTTTTGTTCCGGCCCTCCGGTCCAGTTTAAGAGCCCATTGTGGCCCTCGAGTCAAAAAGTTTTCCCATCCCTGTCCTACAGGAACAAATAAGCATGATTCTCTTGATTATGCAAATATTTGGACTTTTTTCCATCTATACTTGGGAAATCTGCTAAAATACCAGTAATAGTATTCAGTTATAGTTATTTATAGGCACATTCATAAAAAAACATCAATCTGCCCTGACCGGTTTGGCTCAGTGGATAGAGCGTCGGCCTGTGGATTGAAGGGTCCCAGGTTCGATTCCGGTCAAGGGCATGTACGTTGGTTGCAGGCACATCCCCAGTAGGAGGTGTGCAGGAGGCAGCTGATCGATGTTTCTCTCTCATCAATGTTTCTAACTCTCTATCCCTCGCCTTTCCTCTCTGTAAAAAAATCAATAAAATATATTTTTTAAAAATTGCTCATTGTATTTTTAAAAACAAAACAAAAAAGACATCAATCCAATGTATTAAGACTATGCAAAAGCCAAATACTAGTGTATATATATATATATATATATATCTCACAGTGTATATTGTGTATTTACTAGGACCTCTTAGTGAAATCTTCCAATGAGCTGAAAAACAAAGTCTATGAACCAAAGTAAGAATGAATTCCTTAACTACATATGACATCTAGCTAGTTCATAGTTTAAAAACATCTGATTTTTCTGCATTTCTAGATTTCTGCAAAACTCGGTAATTAAATTCATTTCATGTATGGCATGTTCCATGCTCTTTAGAGGATGAATGTGCTAAAAATGGTAGCTGGTGATTTTAATATCATTACAATACGAACCTTCCTAAAATTATAAAAGTGTATTTTGGTCACATCACTGGCTATATTAAAAAATTCTGATGAAAAGATTATTATATGTACCTTAATTATGGCACTATGTAAAATTAAGGATATCGAGATTATAAATTTGCCTCTTTTGATGATAGGTTTATTTGTATTCAAAAACGGAAACCTGTGGCCCTGGCTTGTATGGCTCAGTTGGTTGGAGTGTCATCCTGTACACTGAAAGGTTGTAGGTTTGATTCCTGGTCAGGGGACATACTTAGGTTGTGGGTTTGATCCCTAGTTGGGGTGTGTACGGAAGACAATCAATCAATGTTTCTTTCACATTGATGTTCCTCCCTCTCTCTCTCTCCCTTCATTTTCTTTCCTCTCTTTCTAAAATCAATAAATCATGCCCTCAGGTGAGGATTAAACCAACAAAAACAAAACTGAAATTTGTGTAACTTTGATTGCTTTGAAGTCAAGGACTGTGTAATTCTAATTCTTTCAATTTCCAGCATTTCAATTATATGGTTCAGTATAAAATCAGAGCCCAGTAAGTTCTTATCACTGTTCTAAGGTCTTTTACATGTTTTTGCATGTAGACTGGAGCTGGTTCTACTGTAACATCTGGGGTGGGGATGGGAGTGGGGGCAAAAGGGAAGGGCAGACCTAACCAAGAAGGCTCAACAGTGTGAGTTTTCTCTTTTAAGCAGGGTGGTGGGTGCACAAGTGTTCATTATATTATTTATTTTCTTATACCTCTTTGCATAATTCATTTTTAAAAGAAAAAAGTAAAACAAAGTATAATATCCATAGCTTTATTTTGCTTCACATAGTGGCAAATGCTGGACCATTTACTTCAATATACCGTATTTGCCGGAGTATAAGACGACTGGGCGTATAAGACGACCCCCTAACATTTCCACTCAAAATACAGAG